TATTGCAGGAGCAACTGGGAAGATTTCAAAGTATGCCCCAATCCAAGCTGGCAGCAAAATGCTGAAACACCCAACAATTAAAGACAGAGGTATTAAGCTGCACTAAACATAAGCTTAGGGCTACCCTAGATCTGTGTGCCCAAGAAGAGAAGGAGTTTAAACCTAGATCCACAGTAGCCATATCTACCGAAATCCCACGTGAGATCTCAAAGAGCCAAACTCACCACAAAAACCCAATTCTGTTAGCCATTATTAAATTTATTTTAAAAACCCAATATTTTTTAAACAAGTTTTTTTCTCCTTGTCAAAACTAAGCCAGAATAAAAGGGCAATATAAGTACTAGTCGGTAAATGATCCTACAGGTCCACAATGTGGGTTTCTCAGCCCAGGAAGCAGCACAAAAGCAGCAGCACTTCTCAGCTGCTCCAGCCTGACAGCAGCTAGATGTGGATGAGGTTGCTTCTGAAGCAGAAGACAGCCAGCATATTTCAGCTGCTCCTGCACATCTGCTTAGCATTAAACTTCCTTCTTGGGATTTTTTTTTTTTTTTTTTTTATTCCAAGACGTTTCAGCTCTAATTGCTACCAGCTTTTAAGAGTCCCCCCTACAAATAATAAAAATATCAGACATTAGTGATAGATTCCACTTCACAGAGAGCTCAAACGAAGAGCCGCAGCAGGAGCCAGTGTACGGGGAGGAGGTCAAAGGCCCCGGCAGCACGCTGTGCCCAAGCCAACAAAACACAAGCTTTGAATGGCCCCGGGTTTTCCCTTTAGGACAGGGTTTTACTGGAATTCTGCATGGGGCTTGGAGCTGGTTTCCAATGGGATTGGTAACGGTAAACGAACAAACCCTTGCTTCCTGCCACTCCTCTCCCCTGTTGCAGCACAGCTGAGCACCGGCTGGTCTCAGATGCCTTGGAGGGGGTGGGGAATCTCAGTATTTAGAAGGGAAATAAAAGTTGCCTGAGTAAGGCAACGGCATCCCAATTCTGCTTCAAACATCAGTCCCCAAACCCCTTGCTGCCGGCTTCAACTGGAGCCAGAACAAACCCCTTCAATTGGAATTATTTTTAAAAGCTCAAAAGAAACATGGATCCATAAATTACTGCTAAGCCACGGGGCCAAGGCAGTTGTGATGCCCACAGAGGAGGTTTTCCTTCGGAGCCACACTGCACAGAAATAGCAGCAGAGCAGGCGTGTCACTGGAAGCAGCTGCTGAACCCCCATCCCATCGCTTCCAAGCTGCCAGCACAGAGCTGGGCAAGCCACAGACAGATCAACTGACTTCCTTAGGTGTGAAAGAAAAGGAAGAAGTTGGAGGGGCAAAAAAGCTTTAAAGACAAAATGTAGCTGGTTGCTGTGGTGAACATGAAACAGATTATTTTAGATTTCACGAGAAGCTTTTCTGCTGCCAGTGAGACTGGTTTGTTTGCTGCTCCTCCCACCACTGGCAAGAGAACAGGCGCCAGACTGCTGGAGACTAATGCTTTATGCTTGTGATACAGCCCCACTCATCTCATTTTAGCAGCAGACTATTTGTCTTGTGTGCAGTTAGAGCAGAGTGAGCTTCCAGAAAAACCTACAAAAACTGAAGCCAGCCTACAGTCAAATGCACGAGTTCAATGCTGCTGAGATCCAGGAGATGCCACATTCATGGTTCACACCAGCACTGCACATCCAGCTGGGTCCCTGCCCCAGCAGGTGCAGAGAAACTCCTCCACAGGCATTTTAGCAGCAGCTACTGATGCAGGTTTCCTTTTGTTAATAACACTGCCTAAAATGTTAAGTTCAATGTTGAGTCCAGGATCCATTATTTAATACTGCTGTCAAGGCCAGAAGGGATACTCTCCTAAAGATTCACAGGTTGCATACCACTGGGCCTATAAGGGACTTTTGTAACAAATATTTTTTTTTAAAGTAATGTATGGCTGTCTAGCCTATTAAGCTACATATTTTCCAATGAAATTCCTGCAGTAATTCCAGGGAATTGGATCATCCTAGTCATGTGTCTCAGTGTGATTGTAGTTCTGGCTATGTAGCCCTTGCCTCAAATGATTTCTGTGCATAACTGAGTAGTTAGCATAGGCCAAAGACAGGTCCCAACAAGTGATCTGGATGTGGCTACCTTGCTTTGGAGGGCAAAGAGTTTAATTACACAGGTATGATCTGTTCCATAGAAGTTGCCTTCCACAGGAGATAGCATTCCTAAGTCCATTTAATTAATGGACTTCTGTTCTAATAGCTCTTTTGTTCTAACGAAGCTCTACCTTAAACATCAACTGGGAATACTAAACTCTCCCAGCTGTTAAGGTGCACCTTAAATTACCATGAAAACAATTATAAGAACGAGCAGCCATACTGAAGAGATGCTGACATCTGAGAGACGGCAGCTTTCCAGCGGTGATCAGTTCTGCAGGTCATTAGTCCTCTCCATGAGGAGGTACTACTGGCTCTGTTACTCAAGGACCACAGTGGTGAGCACTGCTGACTGTTTTGCAGATTTATTTTCCTGACTTTTACACTTCCTGGCTTAACTGGAAGGTTGAAAAGAAAGTTAAAAAAAAAACCCCAAACCAAACACTCCCCCCCCTCCCCCCCAACAATATAATCAGTGATTCTTCTTTATTTCCCCCCTGGAGCTGGGGGTAATAAATGCTGCTTCTGAAGAATGAGGGTGCCCTCATCCCAACAGTGGTATTTGGTAAGCCAGTAAGCAGCAGGCTGACCATGCTGTTCCTTAGAAGTGTCCACTTCACAGAACTGGCCTAGAGCCTTGTTTGCTGCAACGTTCATGACGTGTGGCAGAACAGAAAACAGAAATTAGGCCTGTATTTCAATCTACATTTTGGAAGACAAGCCTACTAAAGAGTTAGTATAAATGAAGTACCACGTTGTCCTGGGAGCTCAGGTGGGACACCTTACTGCCCCGAGCTGGTAAGGAACCCCAGAGGGCCAAGCTCAGTCTACTCAATACAGAGCTTCTTGCTGGGATTTTGCCTCCAATAACATCCTCCTCCTCCTGACAAGGTGAGGCTGGCCATCCACACAACCAAGAGCAGAAAGCTCAGCAAGCTAAAACTGCCCTAAAACTAATGCCCATACCCTTGTGAGTCATTTCCAAAACCTTCGTTCCCCAGACCCATTGACCATCCTTTGTCAGCCTGCTCCAGGTTTCTCTGCCCTAGCCCCTACCCCTTCAGATGGAGCTTGACACTTTGGGTAAATGGGAAGGCAGTAAGATGCAACAGCACTAGACTAGGAGAGGGAGAGAGCAATACTTGGTGTTGAAAACCTCCCCCAGCAACAGAAGTACTTGTACCAGAGAGTTACTCTGACACAGAATCTACGTGTAGCTTACAACACGGCTCTAAAACAGCTTGGAAAGAGGAAAAATGCAGATGAGCCTTCATCTGAACTGGAACCATTTTCACACATTCTTGGCTCACACAATTAACTCATTCAATTAGGCAGAGAACAACAGACAGTCAGAGAAATGGGAGGATGGCACGGAAAGGTTGTGAGTGTTTTGATCTATCTCAAGCACTACTGTTCAGGGCACCCTATTGAACTGCACCATTGATGTTTCTCCCTCCAGGCTCCAGCAAGACCTAAACAAAAACAACAATTGTGCCCAGTGCCTGACCCAGGGTGGGTCTGGTCAGCCATTACACTTCTTAGGTACCACAATGGCAGATTTATTTGGTACTGTAATTTCTGGGCAAGCAGCAGTCACCCCTGTCCCTCACCAGGACAGCTTAAATAAGCTTTCCATGGGATGCTGATGCATCATGTTTAAAGCTAATGTTTTGAGACAGTCCTTGGAGAAATACAGATATAATAACTTTTTGCCCCACCAGGAGACTGTATTTTAAAGTTAACTCTCATACTTGCAGAGATATCTCCTCTTCTATACACTTGAAGCTGAACATCACCTCCATTCCCCATGCCATCTGTTCAAGAGGGCTATATCTTGAAAAAATATTTGACTAGTAGATTATCAAACATACAAATCCAGCTAAAGTGCCTGAGTAAGAGGATTGGCAGCAGGCATTAAATCAGGCCTTTAATTTTAGTCTTATTCATCAAGTTCAGCCCCATCATGAACAGCCTGTGCAGGGCTTGTGCTTGGGAGGAGGCGCTGCCTTTATGCGGGGGGCTGAGGGCAGATGTGCTGAGCTGCAGCGACAAGTCCAGCCAGCACCTTCCTCTGTCCCTGGCAGAAGTGGCTGCCCCAGGAGATGCCGGGGCTCCTCGCCTCCCCAGCACCACACTGCAGACCAAACTCTGACCACGTCCACTTGCCACGTAGCCTGGCGCACGCTAGACCCACACACTCTCCTTGGAAAATGTTCACATCTGGCCTTCACGTGACTAGAGCATGCCTCGGAAATTCATCATCTGGATAACTCACTCCTGCAGGGGAGAAATCCTCAACCAGAGAGCCCTTTCCTGAGCTGGAACAGAGCAGCGGGGCCAGAGGATTGTGTGCTTGACAAACTGCACAGTGACACGCTCACCAGCTGCATTTCATAGCCTCATACAGTCCTTCATCCTTTCTAAAAGTACAAACGCAAAGAAAAACTTAGTCTCAATTTTCCACTCTGCTTACTTCTGCAAAAGCCCATTTTAATCCCATTTGCAGACCCTGAAGTATCCAGGACTCTTTAGCTTTTGTTCTGGCAGCCGTAGCTCATATTAACTCTTTCCACATGGCAAGTGAGGACTCTCCCACATGATCACTGTGGTACAGCTCCTGCACAGACAGTTTTGTAGCAGTTCCAAGTTTGGCTGGGAAGTGCCTAGAATATCTGAATGTTAATCCACATCTAGAGCTGTACAAACTGAGAGCATCACCCCTCTGAGGAAAAAAAACAGCCTCCAGCACTGCCAAGAAAGGGGACAGAGAAGCCCCTAACGCTGCACTTCAAAACTCACAGGTATGTACACATGCTGTGTGGCTCAAAGAAAACTCAGCAACAGTCAAATCCCAACTATGAAGCAGTCACGCTGCCAAGCACAGAACATGTACTGCAGCACTGGCATGTCCAGGCAGAGACACTGACAATCAATGCATACATTATAACTCCTGCTGAATACTCTGTAGATAAAGCTTCCAGCCCTCTTGGGTTAGGTGAGCCACTCCATCCACAGTGCACTGGAGAAGATTTTTCTGGTCATGCAGCCTGGACACAGGCCAAGTAGAATGGGGCAGGTGTAATGCCACACACAAAGCTGGAGGCACAGAGGGTGAGTTTCAGGGGTGAGCGCTCTCAATAGCCCAAGGACACACACCTTACACCCAGGTTTCCTACTCATGAGAGAGATTCAAGTGCTCCCCTGCCTGAGACTAAGTTATTCAAAATGCCCAGGGAAGGTCTGCTCCTCTCAGCCAGCCAGACCCATCTGTGCTGCACATGGATTCCTGCAGTGGCAGAGGATCATCACCCTCCACTCCAGCTCTCAAGTGCATTTCTCACCCGCCTTATCTAATGTGCCAAAACCAAAAGACCGGTACTCTCCGTGCAAGAGAGGAAAAACCCACGCAGGCAGCACTAATACCATCTGCCACCAACAGGCAGAAGTGGGAGGAAGAAAAGGAGCAGATTGAGAACAGGGAGCTCCTTAAAAGCAAGCGAAATGCCAATATGTCCTCTAAGGTACCAGGCGCTTTTTCAGCACTCAGCTTGAAGGCTCTCCGAGGCATTTGCAGGGTGCACACTGCTCTGCCACGGCTGTGCTTAAGCCACACCTCATATTTGCAGGCCTCCCCTGCCTGCCCCGTCTCCCTGCTCTCTCTCCCGGACACAGGGCTCTCCGCATCATCAGTGCTGAACTGGGAACAGCAAAGGAACACAAACACATTCCTTTCCCTAATCCTGCACCCTATCCCCAAACTTCAGTTTAAAAGTCAAGGAGCAAAACAAAAAACCCACACAACACACAAACTCTTTCTCTCTTATCCCATCTTCCTCCCACCCCAGTATATAGGCCACCCAGAAGATGACAGTGATCCTGTACATCTAATGGGCCACATGTCTTGTCAGCAGAAAACTGAAGCAGCACAGAATAAAGTCTCCTATCTGCTCTTCTCTTCAGTAGCCTCAGGCAGAAGTCCAAAGCATTTCAGTTTAAGCAGTGACTTTAAAAATATGGTGTACAAGGAGAAGTGTGAGATCAGCTTCCTCCTGCCAGAATACCACAGGCTGGATTTTGAGCGTGGGATTGGAGTGGACAGATTCACATCTTGACTGAAGATGCAGAATTGGGTCACACACACAGATGCTGCAAGGAGATGAAATCTGCCTGACTTAGCGGCAGCTCTTTCTCAAATCCTGCTCTCTGCCAATGCACCTGAGCACAGAGCAATAGTCCTGCTTTGGAAAAAAGCCCCACAGAATGGATGTTTTTCTAATTATATGAAGAACTTGTTAAAAAAAGACTTAAAAAAAAGGAAATTAGCTGTTTGGGGAATAACTACATCAAGGAAAAGCCAATAAAATGATCAGAAGTTTAGCAAATTCACTACCTGAGAAAGAATAATTCCCTATCATGAGAAAAGGAAGCTCTGACATCAAGGACTGAACTCAAGATGCACATTGAGATTGTTAACTACTAATGTCTTCCAGAACCAGGCCCAAGATGTATATCCACAGTAATTAAATGCTAAGGTTTGTTTGGTCCTTGGTTGCTATGCCTCTGGCTATTCTACCCTTCTTTTATTACTAAATCCTTTATTTTCCTGTTAAAGAAAAAAAAAGCAAAAGCTATGTGAGAACCAAAATGTTCTGCCAGAATCTGCTGTTTTTAAATTCCATGCAGTAATTAGTACGTACAGCCAAGAAGGTTAATCGTATGATGAGGGAACAGATCCTGATTTCTGATCATGAGCAATCTTGTCAGTACATGCTTGTGAAGTTATAAAATAGTGGCTGGCAAACTACCTCATCCAGCTATCCTCATCAACAGGCTAAATGGCATCAAGGAGCCAGTCCACCATCACTGTTTCTGCCATAATGGTAGAAAACAGTGCAAGAAACACAGCACACGCATGTGATTCATCAGGACACAAACAAGAGCACGTGCCTTGTCTGCAGGGATCGTGTCGTACCACAGATTTCTTACAAGGATTAAGACACCAAGTACAAACTACAGGGTTTAAGATGTTCCTGGGACCTTGCCATGGACTTGGACATACTTAGATTCCCATTCACCACCTTAAATAAAAAAAATAAAAAAATTGACCTTCTAAGCTAAAGCTTTTGTTTTGGATGGAGTACAAGGAGACAGACTTCAGAGATAAACACTGGGAAAGGAAAATGACTCAAAGTAACATTTGAGTTAAAAATCACATTTTAGCTTTGTTGCTATCTCCTGGGCTCAGATTCACCAGTAGCCAACTGTCTGCTTTATTAGTCAGGCACCTAATATAGGTAGTCCCAAGACATCTGCTACAGTCACCACCCTGACAGAAGATGCATTGCCTCATGCTGGGATTTACCATGTTAGTTAATTGGATTTTTCAGCCTCTTTAGCAACATGCTCTCAGATTTGTCCCCTTTGAGAACCCATTTAAAAGGCTTAGAGTTCTTCTGACTGAGAAGATAGAACTGAGAGAGATATCAGTCAGCTGAGTAAGTTAAGGCATGCCCATTGTTCTAATATCAAAAGGGCATCCACCACTCCAGATGACATCCCATCAATACTGCAATAACCTTAAGGCAAAGGAAAGGCAACACTGCATCTCAGAGTGAGGTCCTTCCTTCTCCCTCCAGTGCAGTCATTTCCCACAAATATTATAAAATACCTGCCAGGGCTGGAGGCTGCACATTCCCTTCTCTCCCTGTACCCATGTGTAGCTACACAGGCCTGTGAGGCTGGCAGAGCTCCACACACAGTTGCATCAACCAAGCTTTGTCCCCGAGGTCGGTGCCTCAGTCCTACAACAGGTGAAGACAGTTCCAGCCACACAGCCCTGCCAATCCAGCTAATGGCTCACACATTTGTGACCCCACTGAATGATTAAACACACACTATTAATTTTCTCTGTATCATCTCAAAGGAGGCAGTTCAAACTAAGTTAAGAAAATAAAGCTCATTTATAAAAAGAAAAAGCAGGACATGCCATGGCACTGTAAGTGCAAGCAAGGCACATGCAATGTGACAAGACCAAAAACGTTAAGCTGTGAAGTGATCAGCATAGTTCAGCTTGCAAAGACAGCAAAAGCCAAAAGTTGAGCCATTTCCCTCTGTAATTACAAAGGAAGAAGAAAAAACTATCCCTAATAACAAAAAGAAACAGCATAAGGCAACTCCCTGAGGCTGACAGAAATGCACATCCTCAGAAGGGAGGAAGATGGTTTTCCTAGTAAAGAAGAAACAACTTTTGCCATCTGCTCCACCCATAATCCCAAAGCAGCATCCCACAAAGTGATCAGCCACGAGGGCCCTTGGTGTTGTTACAATGATCTGCTTGTTTCTCACTTGAGGCCCTGCTTCTGTCATTGCTGCAACTCTCTCAACTCTACTTAGTAATTTCCCCATTGAGGGAAGAGAGAGCATTACAGATGTTTCTATAAAAAGTTTGTGAAGTAGCTTCCAACAGACTCTGAAGTTTTATTTACTTGCCAGTGGATACATCCTTCCTAGTTTTAGATTACAGGAGGAAAAGAAAGCGGTGATTGTTGTCTGTGTGTAGCCATAATCTTACTAGCCCAAAAATTGGACGTGGGAACCCAGCTGAAAGATGGTTCACTCATCTAGGGAAGCTTCATCAGCATCCTCACTGAGGCAGCAGTGGCTTGGACCAGGTTGTTAAGTTAATATGCTAAGTGCTCAATTACAGCAGCTGTTTAAAGAGACTTCAGCTGTCAGACTCAGCCAAAGCTCAGCCAACTTGATGCAGACAGGAACTGAAGAACAAGGAGGGAAAGGAGACATCGCACACTGAAGGAGCATTAAATGCTATTTTTTTAAAGGCTTACTCCCCCTCAGTTGGAGGAGCATCCTACCACATAGCAACAAGGTGCCAGAGAAAGCTGCTGAACAGTGGCTTGAAGCCAGCTGTGCCCTCAGCAGCAAGCTGGGGGCAAAATGATAACAAAACCCTCTCAGCAGTGGGGGTTTTGTTATCATTGCAGAAGGGGATGGCCAGCAGTGCTTCTGCTAGTGCACACTCAAAGTAGTAAGCACAAGGACTTGGTCCCTTACCGGGTAGGGGACAAAGATCCACACCATTGCTTTGAAAGCCAAGGTGAAGTAGCATCTCTCCTGCTGGGTCTGACCCCACAGTTAGCAAGGTGAATCCTCTCAGTAGTTGAGAAGCACCGAGACTTGGTGCAGAAAAGTTGTAAAGCCCACACCGACTCCCCATTGCCACCAGATACCAGGTCCCAGATGTTTGCTTCACCTTCACAACTGGGAGAGTGACAGCTTTGGTATGAAATCAGCCAAGAAAGATTCTCAGCATGGGAAGAGGGCAAGATGATCTTAATTCCAGGAGTCTGCAGCTTGCTCTAGCCAGTAGGGGGTATGTGGGGGACAAAACGACATCTTTGGGAAGAAACACACTCCAATTGGTTTTACAAGCCACGCCAGGATTAGCAGATATCTCAAGGGTTAATTAGTTCACCATGCACAGATGGTAGCTGGTAGGGTTTGCAGAGTGGATTAACCTAATTTGTGGTTTGTAATGTACCATGCAAATATCCATTACTGGACTTGCAGCGATTCTACCCTTATTTTGATTTGAGGACAGAAAAACCACATAATGGATGCCAGCATAGAAGTACTGTCTGTTTTGAGTGACAAATGAGTAGCTGCTCACTTGGCTTATGGGATCAACAAATTGGGGTCTGAAGAGTAATTCCATCTGGTTTTACTACAGAGGGTCTTTGGATGGACCAAGATGAGACCACTTCTTGTGAGCATACAGAATATGCTCACGGTAACCACTCCTCACAGCACTGACAGATGGTCATAGAGCAACAGTTCAATTGCCTGGAAACATGAAGGCAGCTTTCTGAAGCAGATCCACAGCGTGTCAGATAAAGCCCCACAAGTTCAAGGTATCAGCACATCAGCACACACTGCAGTTTGGGCCACCACAAATGCCCGTGATTTCACAGAGCCTCCGTTACTTCAAGTGAAGCTCCAGGTCCTCAAGCTGACTGCATGCAGGTTAAAGCATTCATGATTAGATCACATCCAAGCAAAGGGCTGTGTGTTTACACAGCCCTTTGCACAAGAGGAAGCCTGGCTCAGGGCTGGCGTGCAGAGATGCCCCAGATCAGTGCAAGGCCCCCTTTTGTTTAGCTAAGGATGTGCCACGCTCTTGCATTTGGTTCAGGAGGTCTCAAATGTTTACAACCAGTATTAGCTGCAGCGATAAATGTTTCCATAACTCCTGTTAAACTCTGAACCTATCCAGTTTCTCCCTTCTCTAAGGGGCAAGCACAGGACTAGCTAGACACTCACTCTGGCAAGGCAGAGGTCAGGGTAGAGGTGACGCTGGCTGTTAGAGGCATTCTCCACATGTTTCTGCAATTGGCCATGCTCGTGTCGTGCCTGCACATGCCTGAAACGAAGCAGCTGTGGGATTCCTGCTGGACAGTGTGGGACAGCTGTGCTGTCCTCCCAGCACATCTTTGGTGAAGACAGTAGATGTGTTCACAGGTCTCATTTGTTGGGAGGTGCTTGCATTTAAAAGTGCAGATTTGTCTCTCACTAACAGATGGAATAGTATCTGCACCTACAGAGGAAACTACATTTCAAAGCTAATTTTTTTATCTTAAAAGACCCTCATAGCAATCCTGAAAATCTGTGCTTATTTACCCCATCATTTGTTCAAGTGTCATAAAGCTGGTCTTTGTTAGAGGCTGTAATTGCCAACTCCCTTGGCATGTTCCTTCGCTCACTGTGTACACACTCCCACAGTATCCAGCTCTGAACAGAAGGAAGCATTCCTCTGCCACTCTAAAATCAAGCAAGAAGATGGCCAAGAACAGAGTCCCTTTTATGCAGCTCACTTTGTTCAGAGAGCTGCTTCGCATTCCTCTTTGTACAGGGTAAATGGAGAAAGAGCGTCCCTAAGCCCCACTCTTTCCAAGCCTTAGCTGTGCAAGTAGCCCAGCACTGAGAAGCAGAGAAGAGGAAAGAATCCCAGAAGGAGATATGGGGAGGTGGGACAGCCAAAGGAAGAAGCCCGACCTGACTGTCTGTCCCTCACAGGGATGGATGAATGTGTGTGTCACTTGGGATGCTCAGGTCAGGGGGCCAGGGAGTCGAGCATCCACAAATGGCATCTCAGCTACACTGACTCAACTTAATTGCTCTTTTCACAGTGTCATAGAATCACACAATCATAGAATAGATTGGGTTGGAA